AAGCATCAGAGTTTGTGTGTGGGAGGGAAGCTTCTGGAAACATAACTAGGGCCTTGGCATACTCTAGGCAAGTTCGTTACCACTAAGCTTCATCTTCAGCTCTAAATTAAAAAAAAAAACCACAAAAACACACACACAAAAAACACAAACAATGTGAAATACAGCAGCAGAGTTATATGCATATCCTACTTAAAAAATGCAAACACAAAATTTGTGTAATGGTTCAGTAATTTACAGGATAGTACTTATGAAAAAACTATGAAATAGGCACTAAATTAAACTTTGAAGACATTTTTTAAAAAATATTTTTTATTTTATATATATAGGTACTTTGCCTGCATGTATCTCTGAGTGTGTGCGTCATGCCCTTGGAGGCCAGGAGAGGACATTGGATCTCCTGGGCCTGGAGCAACAGAAAGTTGTGAGCTGCCACGTGGCTTGTGGGAATCAAAGAATACTTTCTTCTAGATCTTTTGCAGTAACAACAATGATGATAACATAATTTTGTTGAACGTTTAGATATTTTGGCTTGTGACACCAACATTAATGTTAAAATATATAGGTACAAAGAGAACATGAGTACTCTGCATGAACAGGGCTTACATCTGTAAAGCACTTGTCTACTGTGCACAAGGCCTGGGCTTACATCCCAGTACTGACCCTCCCAGGGGTCAGAAAAGTAGTCTGGCAATATGTTACCGGAAATCTTTAAACAAAGGTTTTAGTCTTAAAACCACACAATCCTATCACGAAAAAGATTGAGGACATTTGAGTTGCCCTTTGCAGTAGTTTATTCACTGTTTTAGGCATAAGGGTGGCATGGTTCCCCTTTGCACCACTGATATATAAGAGAATGCTTAGAGAGTTTCATTGACTATATACGAATTACTGCAAACAGCAGCTTGCTTTTTAATCTATGTGTAGCTGGGAATTTTGAAGTAGACATTTTATTCCTTTCGATAAAAATGAATTTGTGTGAGAATTGGAAACGGCGTGTAATAAAGCTGCATGGGTTGGCAATGAAGATAATGGCAAATGACTGCTTAAAATGCCGGTTTTCTACTTAACTGCTTTCTTTTCTTTGCTTCTCCTCCTCCTCATTTTTTAAAAAAGATTCATTTATTATTTGTGTGTATGCATGTGTGTCTGTCTGAGTTTAAGTTATGTGTTCCACATACAGGCAGGTGCCCCAGGAAGCCAGAGGGCCTCAGATTCCTTGAAATGAGTTACAGGCAGTTGTGACAAGCCTAAATAGGAGCTAGGAAATGAACTCAGGTCCTCTCAAAGAACTACAAGATCTCTTAATCACTGGGCCATCTCCCCAGCCCCATATTTATCTATCTATCTATCTATCTATCTATCTATCTATCTATCTATCTATCTATCTATCTATCTGGACAGATTTTTACTATGCAATTCTGGTTGGCCTGGAACTCTGTAGCTGGCCTCTGACTCCCAAATGCTGGGATTAAATGTGTGTATCACTACACCTTGCTTTTAATTGGTTTCTTTCATTAGCTATTACAGAAAAAAACAGGTAAATTTTTTTTCTTATGTAAATTTTTAGAAAGTCCAAGGGTTAATTTTTATTATAAGGAAGAAATAGTTCATAAGCTAGTAAATGCAAGATTAAAAATATTTTTTTACAATGAGTAGAACAAGGGATGAATTTCCTAAATTACTTTGTATGTTTCCATGATCACAATTTACCTACACTCTATTAAATATTAGTTACATAAGTTGTGTTTTCACTGCTTTAGAAAATGAGGTATGTATAAACTTCTGGAGAAGGTGATTTAGAAAGCATGCAGTTCTAACTCTCTCTCACTTTGCTGCACCCAGAGTCCACAGATACTACTCACCAGAAAGCTAAGCTGCTGCTCCAGATCTCCATTACTGCATTAACTTGGCATATGGAAAACAGAGAACTATTGTATTCTTTTATCCCTAGAGAGATGAGACGATTTGCAGCTCACTTGAATCTCAAAGCATTTCTGCTCTGAATTGGCTGGAAGCTGAGGAGGTTGAGCAACAAAGACCCACAGCATGAACCTCACTTCCATATGACCTCTGCCTGTGGCAACTTCTCAGTCATGCCACAACATGCAACTCGGTCTGTGTGTGTGTGTGTGTGTGTGTGTGTGTGTGTGTGTGACAGCCTCTGAAGTGATTCCTTTCACTGTAATGACAAGCATACTCAGGAAGGGTGGGGGCGGGTTCTGGTTAGGAAGGAAAATGTGGTTAACTTAAATTGGACCTGGGGTGCAAATGGAGGCTGCATAAATCACTCCCATTGCTGTGGTCAACTCTGCACTTTTGTTTTCATTATTGAAAAATCACTGATCTTCCAATGGTTTAGCTACGTTCTGAGTCTTACTGCTTCGCAAAATCAAAGTCTTTAAAGGGCCTTGTTTGGGGGTGGGGGTGGGGCAGATGAACAAAGCACTGCTATATATTCTTTTGAGAAAATTTATTAGCTAATGAGAAAATGGTGCTTAGTTAGTCAGTGGTTGTTCCATCAAATCAGTGACCCTTCAAAGTCTTCGTTGTGTCTTCTGTTCTCTTTCCAAACAGATATGAAATATTTTAAAAATTGCATGAAAATTGGAATAAAAAAAACAACCAACTACCCTGAGTTCAAATCTAACCCTCCAACCCTTAAATTAATAAGTGTTAGACTTTAAACTTTGATGCTAGTTATCAGCTCTAAATAGGAAGATATTCATCCATAAAATGAGATTATCCTACAAGTGTGACCCTATTCATCTCAAGATGTGAACAATGTAACTATAAAACTGATACAATAATTATTGTTTCTATTAATTAGGCTGTCTGATATACAATACTTAACAGATGTTCACACAACTATTAGTGAGGTGCTATAACTACAGTGCCCAACACATTCACTTCAAGATCTTGAAGGTGAGGATGTAATTATATCAAGAGACCCAAGATAAATGATAAATGGGTGTTTATTGGGGACAATTACACAGAAAAATACAAAGAACCACTGGAGTGTTTCTCTGCTCTTCCTACTGGATCTGCTGAGAAAGAGCCCAAAGGAAAGTCACGCCTCAAGCTCCTCTCTTTCCGCTTCCATCAGCCTGAAGTCACACCCAAAGGGGTGTGGTGGTCATTTCAGGTCCACAGACCAGATGTCTACAAGTGTGTGTGGCACACACCTATGACCTCAGGGTGGGAAAGCTAAGGAAGGCAGAGGCAGGAGGATTACATAGTGTGTGTGCTTCCTTTTGTTTTTTGAGATAGTCTTATATCTTAGGCCTAGATGTCATTTGTAGTTCAAGTTAGCCTTGAACTCATGGCAGACTGTTTTGAGTCCAGCCAAACTTATCATGACATTTTGTTTCAGCAAATAAACACCCTAAAAACCAAGATGGAGAGATATCAGTAATTAATGAATACCTTAGGTGGTATTAAGTTGAATGCCTCAGAAACAGTCCAGGTAAGAACAATGCCTCAGCCTCATCAACAGGTCACTGCAGCAGTTATTGGGTGAGACATTAGGTATGTCCTACGGAAGCTATCAAATCAGTTTGTTAATGTAGATGAGAGTAGAATAAGAAGCTAAGAGCATAGGGCTTAGGCTTGAATCCTAAGTAGTAAGTTGTGTAACCTTGAAAATCATTCAATCTTTTCTAAACCTCTATCTTCGTATCTCAAAACAGGAGCAGCAGTCTTTCTTTCTCACTTTTGTGATGATCAAAAGAAGAAGCCGGCAAATATTTAAAACGTCACTTGCTTAGCTGCATCATATTTAATATTCTGTGCAAGGTAACTTTTGTTGAGGAGAGCTAGCTCATAACCCACTCTGCCACCATTTGATATTGCCCTTCAGTCATATAGAGAGCCGCTCTTGTCTTTGAAAAATCCTGCAAATGGTCCGTTGTGCTCTATATCTTGTGAGGTCCCCACACATCGATGTGCTGCTTAGGTGAGGTCAGCATGCCTCATGGGGATGGTGCCTCCCGGAATCAAATGCTAGCAGATGTCCAAGGTATAAAATTTGTCACATTTCCCTAACCTTCCAGAGTTCCAGTTACTTCAGATTAAAAACAAATTATTTTTTAAAATCTAAGTTGCTCATGTCATGTGTTTCACTTATAGTAAAATTTTGCCTTTATTATTATTTTTTTCAAGTGGACACGCTAATGCTTAGGATGTGCACACATTAATATTTTTTTCTAACTTGCAGTGAGTGAAATCTTGCTACCATAGGAGTTAAGGATGTTACAATAATGAGACACTGAGAGGAACCCTAACAGTAGGTATTATGGTAAATGACTTGTGGGCAATGAAGCATGCACTTCATAGCTCATCTTCCACTGAAATGAAATAACTGCATTGTAAGGAAATAAAACCTAACCTTTTTTGAGATGACCTGTTAAATGAGTCAAAAAGCCCTAATTCCAAACCTATAAAATTAATCAAAACAATCCAAGTGTGCAACGGTCCTATTTCCATCACAGAGGCTCTAACAATTCTGGACCTTGGATAGAAAAGCCATTCTGCTCGTGCCCCGCCCTTCCTGACAAGCAAGCCTGAGCTCATTGACACAGAACCCTCTTTCTCTGGGGAGCCGCTGGGCCCAGCCCCTCAGCATAAGCGCTCTTTCCTGCCAGCAGTCCCTTATGACGGTGCTACCTGCCAGCCAGCAGTGCCCTGGTGTCTGCCCGGCTGCTGCGGACTGAACAGATTGAGATTCCAGCCAGAGAAGAGGTTGCATTAATTGGCTAAAGCTGCTATGTACTGAGCGTATGGACATGAATTTATAGCCAAAACAGAGAGAGAGGGAGTGAGTGGGGGAGGGAGGGAGGGAGAGAGGGAGAGAGGAAGGGATGGAGGGAGGGAGGGAGAGAGAGAGAGAGAAGAAAAAGCACATACAATTTAAACACAAAACAAGAACGAAATGCTTGCTGTCTGACCCTGGCTTTGCAGCAAGCAGTGCTTTTAACCTTTACAAAGAGTCTCAAATTCTGTACCTCATCCGAAGCAGAATTTTCCTGGTATACTCCTTGCACCAAGTCCATAAGAGCACTTGCTATAAGTTCTGAAACCTAAAAGACAAGAAGAAAAAAAATTGACCAATTAAAAGGTGTATACAACGAGAGACGATCTGTAGTGAGTTTCTGTATTATATCAGGTCTAGCTCCATTTTTTTTTTTTTAAATTCTAGAAGGCTTAGTCACAATGCAGGATTTATGTTTGACAGAAAAATTGGCGTTATGTGAAAAGATTCTGGCAAGTGGATTGCCCACCTGGATATTAAAGCTGTGATCCAACTTTTTTCTAGTCATAATTCAAGCAAAAAGAAAATCTTACAAGCATAGCATTTCACCAATATACATGAAAATCCAGTAACACCATTTTGAACATAATTTTAAATTTCAGATAATGAACTACTAACTCAATTTATTTTCTGTATGTTTATTTCTGTCAAGCATATATTTTTTTCAGAACACCCATTCTGGGAGCCATTACAGTGCTTATTTTCATGCAACTAGAACAAACAATAGTAAGAAAATGGCTCCCCTTTCAAAAGTTTGTTCTATTGTACTTAAAATACACCATGGAGTTGGACGTGGAAGTGCACCTTTTAATCCCAGCACTCCCCAAGCAAAGGCAGGCAGATCTCTGTGAGTTTAAGGCCATCCTGGACTACACAGCAAATTCCAAAACAGCCAGGGCTACACAGAAAGACCCTGTCTCAGAAAAACTCAAACTGTTGTGAGGTAGTCATCAGAGAAGACTGTTCAGGCATGGGTTAAGACAACAGAAAGTCTTTATTAGCCAGCATGTGACTTTAATGAGTGTTCGGCATCCCTGAAAGCCCCTAGTCTTTCTCAGAGAGAGCTTTTAAGCACAAAACCATGTCCTAGGTCGACATACTTTAGTTAACAAGAGCAGTACAAACAGATCTACAGAAGCCAAAACACAAGGTCAGCAGATTTGGAGACTTTTCCATAATTATAGAGTTTGATGGATTAGGCCTTTGTTTTCGTTTTGACAGGTGATGCTGTCTACAAGCTGAGTTTTACAGCCTGAATAGCACTTCCATCATGGAGTCAGTTGTGCTAAGGTCTGGGGTCCTGGTACGCCACCAACAATAAAAAAATGCACCATGGACATATTTGGTATATGACCCCTGGGCCAAATATACCATCAACACTGAAAATTTTGACATAACTGTAAATATTAAGAGCAAATTTGGCAAAATTGTTATTATTTAAGGCTCAACTACAAGAAAACAAAGAAAAACCAAACCCAAGCAAAATCAAATGTGTTGAACTTGTTTCACAACATGAAACAAGCAAACAGTAAGAGGTCTCTTTGTAATTGTTCACACGAAGCATCTTAATTCAAGAGGCTAAAATAGCTGGATAATTGGGAATGTTCAACACAGCCATTCCAAACAGAGTTCCTCATGGCAGCCCCGCCCTCTCCTCACCACTCTTCATACTGGGTCTATTTAACCTCCTATGTTTCGCAGCCTGGATCTGGTTTCTACTCTTGGCTTCCTAAAATTCAGCTCAGTTCTGATTGAATTAAAGGATTTTGTTTCAGCTTTTATCACTGTTGTAACTGAAGTAAGCTAAGGGATACACATTCAAACATGAAGATTCTTTAATCTCGGGGACCTTGTATTTAATAAGCATTTTCTTAGAGGCAAATGACATTGATTTGAAGAAAGACTTGCTTTAAAATGTTAACACATGAACATTTATGTCTATTTATATTCACAATGCATGCTGCTACTGATAGGGAAATTTGCTGATTAAAGGCATATTTTTTCTAGCCCTGCACTTGAGCTAATTTGTAAGACCCATTACCACCCCCCCAATCACATTGTCCTTTAGGTAACTAAATACTTACAGAATATTATAGCTATGCAAGCTACAGAGGAACTGGAAGTACAATGATCCTACAATACTACCAGATGTGCTGAGTTATTTAAGTGGGGAGTAGAGAAAAATGAATAGATGTTTTTCTCCTGGAAGTATCAGATAAGCCCTATTCCCAAACCCAGAAGGATTGAATATCGCCAATAGGTCTATGAAAGACTGTAACTAAGCCTACAGAATCAGATTGGATTTCAGTTCATACAAGCAACATCCCAAGATCTCCCTGATGGCTGGACACATAATACAGATCAATCACTCATTAAGAGATGCTATGGTTTTAAAACAGTTGGAGCTCTGAGATCAGCACTGGTAATGTGAAGAGGGATTTATAAAGAGAAAGTCCATGTGACATGTCAAAATGATGGCATGAACTTTTAACAGTAGATCTGGCTCTGGATAACCCAGAAATTTACCCCCCTGAAATTCCAGACAAGGCAGAAGCAACAAAAACATCTTGTTCTGACTCTTTTTCTCTTAACACAATTGGTATGTTCATAGTTTATAAATGACCTATACTTACAAGTGGTTGTATCTGAACATATACCTATATAGCCATGGCAACCAGAAAAGAGAAACAAAAAGAGGAAGGGACAGTATGAAAAACAGGAACAACATAGAGGAGTTGACTGTATCCTAGGCTAATTTGTCAACTGCACTTGTAAATGTCTTTTCATAGCTTGAAATGTTAATTTTAATAATCGTATCAAAGAATAATGGATTTAATTTTCATCCTGCTTTAAAATTGCAAATATTTATATAAAGAACTCATCCATAATTCAGTAAATTCATCTAACTTTTGTTTTTGAGACAGGGTTTCACTGTGCAGGGCTGGCTGGAACTCACTATGTGGGTTAGGCTGGCCTTGAACTTATAGAGAGATCTTCCTGTCTCTGTCTTTGGAGTGCTGGAATTATAGGCATTCCTGGCTCAGACTCTTAATCAAACAAACCAATGAACCCCATTTTATTTATGTGTATGTGTGTGCTTGCTTTTTTGTATGTGCACCTCGTGCTTACACATGTCCATGGAGCCAGAAGAGGGTCTAGAAGGACTGAAGTTACAAGTAGCTCACAGCTGCCTGATGTGGGTATGAGAAGCAAGTCCTGATTCTTTGCAAGAACAGCAAATGTTCTTAAGTCATTGGGTCATCTCTTCCACCCCAACTTAAGATTCTTGGGAAATAACTTACATCATCAAAATGCTTGTGAAGTGCTGGCAAGAGTGGCTCAGTGTGTAAGTCTGCCCAGCAGACAGTCCCTGAGACTCACATGGTGGAAAGTCAACGATTCCCACAAGTTGTCCTCTGACCACCACATATGCACTCAGGGTAACTTCAATGTAATATTAAATGGTGTGTGTGTGTGTGTGTGTGTGTGTGTGTGTGTGTGTGTGTGATTAAAACATTTTTTTTTTTTTTTAAAGAGCTACTGATGATAATGGCCCCCAGAGGAGAATCTAGGACCTAAAAAACAAATCCAAGACTTCCTCTCCAGGGTTCCTGTGCTCTAGACAAGAACAACCCTTGAGAAAAATTCAAGGAGCTTGTTCTTCAGGTCCAGGGAAAAGCAAAGTGTCTCAACTGGAAGCTGCTGGGAACCCAAGGGAAAGGCAATGCAAGAGAACAGAGCAGATTTTAAGAATGAGATCATCTTCCTTCTGTTCCAGGTCTGACTACACATTTCTGTTGTGAGACTTGAAGAGGATCAATTCTGACTTCTGGTTTCCGTAAAATGTAAGATGAAGGGGGGTTCAGAAGATGGTTTGTAATGGTTCTTCTCTGTAGCTTGAAAATTCTACCAGAAATATAAATCTCAGCCAGGTGAGGTGGCACATGCCTTTAATTCCAGCAATTGAGAAGTCGATCTCTGATCACTTGAGGCCAGCCTGGTCTACAGATCGAGTTCCAGGACAGTCAGGGCTACACAGAGAAACCCTGTCTGGAAAAATCAAAGGAAAAGAAAAGCCGGACACTAGTGGCTTCTGCATTGCTGTGAAGCAAAGGACTTGACAGGAACAGCTACAAGTAGAGAGTTGTTTGGCTCATGGTTTCAGAGCATCCACTTTCTAAGAAAAAAACCAGGACTGTGGGAGCACATGGCACAAGAGTATTTATATCACAGTAGTTAGGTAGCAGTGAGAGCAGACTCATAAGGATCTAATCAAATCCCCTATTTCCTTTAGCTACGCCCACTTCTTGAAGTTTCCAAAGTGTCCCAAAATAATGCCACCAGCCAAAGCCCAAGTGTCTCCATGATGCTTGGGGACATTGCCAAGTTCTACGTAAACTTCCTCTCCCCATCACTATATATTTTTGAGGTTTAAATTTTATTTTACTTTTATAATTTCTTATTTTTTGAAATTAATGCAATCATCCCTTCCTTCCCTCCAGCCCCTCCCATGCACCTCCTTGCTCTCTGTCAAATTCACGACCTCTTTTTCTTTAAATGTTCACACACACACACACACACACACACACACACACACACACCTCCCTCTCATTCTTGTAAATATATAAATAGAACCTGCTAACTTTACATAATGTTGTATGTACATAACTTCAAGGCTGACCACTTTGTATTGCATAACCAATTTCGGGGTGGGTTCTACCCTGGGGAGGCCTGACTACTTCTTCCACTCTCAGAGTCCACAGTGGCCTGTAGTTCCTTGTCTAGTGGTATGGCTCCATGAGATCTCCACCTTCCATATTAGCATGCTAGGCGGTATCACCCTTGCTCAGGCTTTGTTCCTATGCTATATTTTTATCTATCACTTGTCACGGATGCCCCTCTGTGATGATTTTCTTCTTTCCTTTTTGGTGCTACTGGGGAGCGACCCAGGGCCTCTTTTGTGTTAGACATTCTACCACTGAGCTACATTCAAGCCTGCCTTTTACTTCCTCTTGAGGAAAGGTTTCATTAAATTACCTAGGCTGCTCTTGAACTAACTCTAGCCCTGGCAGGCCTTGAAACTGTGACCCTCCTGTTTCAGCTTCCTGAGTAGCTGGGAGTATAGGCTATACCACCAGATCCATCTGAATTTCTACTGATCCTTTCTCTGTGAAATTTTCTGGACTCATCTCTCTTGGTTCTAAGGCATGGAGAATGACAATAAAACTATTTCCACTGAAAAATATTATGACTCATGGCCTACCTTGA